GAGAGAGAGAGAGAGAGAGAGAGAGAGAGAGAGAGAGAGAGAGAGAGAGAGAGAGAGAGAGAGAGAGAGAGAGAGAGAGAGAGAGAGAGGGTCAGAAGGCAAAAGGTAGGTGAGTTGTCCCTATTAATTTGCTTCGTAAGAGTAACTAGAGGTAGGGTGGGAAAAAAAAAAAGAAAAAAAAAAAAGAGGTGGGGTGGAGAATAGTCTGAGGGTGGTAAGAGCCAGAGCCAGAGCCAGAGCCAGAACCAGAGCCAGAGCCTGCGCCTGCGCCTGAGTCTGATCAGCATTGAATTTGCCGGTGAAAAAAGGTACGCCGGTGAAAAAAGGTATCTTCACCGATGAAAAGCGAAGTGAAGAATCCATACAGATCCTCCTTCCTGAACTCCCTTTGTAGACAACGACCACATCCCTGAATTGGCTTCACACTGTCCACAGTATAAGACAACATTCCACTTGTCGTACGCACAATGGGCACAAAAGGACACCTGACGCTTCCAGTCGAAGTGCGCACACAAGCGCAAGATGCGGGGCCCGCTCTCAGACGTTGAGCACAGAGCTTGACGACCCCATCTTTTCTTTCTCACGCTGGCATGGCGTTGAGATAGTAATCCATACCAGACACAATCCCCGAAGCCAAGTTGAAAGTTGCAAGCCGTGTCGAGTCGACGGTGGGATCTTGTAGCAGAGAGCGACCTGCTCTCCTTTCACCCTTGATCTGCTGAATGACATCATCCCAAAATGCTCTGAGTGTTCAGAGGCTACAGACGTAAACACTCCTATTCCCCCGCAGTTAGAAAAACCACCTACCGAACATGCAATCCAACTCCGCTCTGCTGCAAAAGGGTAGCGAAGGCAGAACTACTTGTGACTGATGCTTGTGCGAAACAGAGAAGAGAAAAAGCACAACCACACTCGAGGCAAGGTACAGCAATGAAGAACATTATTATGACTGATGCTAGTGCGAAACAGAGAAGAGAAAAAGCACCACCACACTCGAGGCAAGGTATAGCAATGAAGAACATTATTATGTTCAATGAAGCATAGGCATCGGCAGCCGCAAAAGACGCCCAGTTCGTCGACCGATCTATGAACGAGAGAACCTTTGAAAAGCCGAACGCAAAACCTCAGAGCAGCGCACACCGAGATGCAGTCACATGGGGGGCACCAGAAGAAAAAGACGAGAAAACTGGACGGCAAGGCTATGTTTACTCATGCTATCGACAATGTTAATTGCCACAGCTGTGCCAATTACAAAGCTGTTTCTACTCCCTGAGAGATTGCAGCATTTCAACAAAATGCCAGATGATGCAGCACTAACCCTGAAGTTGTTGTACTACGACCACGAGGATGACTCACAGCTAAAGAGGGTCCATACGAACCCTTTTGCACAGACGTCGAGTTTAAGAGTGACCTCTTATCAAAATGCCAGTACTTTTGCGTTTATGCTGCAGGACGTCGAATCGGTATATAATGCACTAGAACTTCTAGAAGTCTAAAACTGCCATTGGACAACACACCGGGACAACCTTTAGGAACTCGCATACACTAGCCGATCGTAATCCCACCAACAAGCCAAGCTACCTCCACTGTTCACAGTGTAGTTAACCCATGCTACTCGTGCTTAGGACCAGACGGTCAGAAGGGTGCGATGCTATCTTTACTTCCTGCAATCAACAACCCCATGCTGCGGCACCCTCGACGGCAACAGAATGACTGGCTTTCCCCAAGGAACGAATACCTGAACCACAGCCAGCATTCCGCGGAAGACGCCCAAAACGATGACGATCACCGCGAAGCTTTGGCACTGCGGATAGCAAGATGCAGGGAGGGTTGCGATCCGCCGATCACCCCCAGGCACGTCAGCGTCTGAGGACATATGGTAATGATAGCAAAGCATGCTGCTGACCAATGCCTGAAGTGTGTAGAAAGCCCACAGCACAGACATGGAGAGAGATACCACAGGATTCGACGAACATATGGGCTTTTTGTGGACGCCTGAAAACAATAACACAGAGGTTACGAAGTGCGGCTAGATACCACGGCGATGCAAAATCATCACCTGCACATCTCATCCTCTGTAGTGGGAGACATGACTAAACAGTCTGCACGCTCTGCATACACTAAAGCACAGCTGGCCAGCTTTCTGGCTTGTCCAGGTGTCAGCTTGGGTTTCACCCCTTCGCATGAGCATCTACAGTGGTGATCATCACTGACCAACACCGATCTCCTCCTCCAACTCACCCAAATGAGTCTCTCTGTCCCTTTGCACACAAGCTTCATAGTATTTGCAAGCTCCCAAGTACGTCGTAATATGACCCATCCCTCCCAAGGAGTGACAAGTATCCACTCACAAGTCAAACTAATCTGTCTTCTGCCCACCCATCCAACCAAGGAGCCACAGCTACACAATGCCTAGTTGGACCTTCCGTGCATCTCCCGCCCGCCATCATACTTGCCGCCCACTCATGGCTCAGAAGCCGTAGAAACCTATACAAGCTCCAGAACGACACCTCCTTCTCACAGATCCTATTCTGTGGTGACCCCCAAGCTGTCCCCCCTTCTCCATGTCCAACTACCTAACTAAAGGGTAGATGGAAAAGGGCTTTCCTAAAGACCTCACACAATAGACAAACAAAACGATTAAACCACGCCTACCTATTCTGACCCCAATTCTTGTCCCGGTCCCACTCCTGGTCCCCATAACCTTCTGAAGACGTGATCGCCGCTACTTCAACTTTCAAATCACACCCCAGACCTAGTCCCACTTTCCTGTGTAAGTCCCAAACCTCATCCCTATCTAAGTCGCAAACCTAGTCCCACTCCTGGTCCCCATAACCTTCTGACGACGTGATCGCCACTACTTCAAACTTTTAAATCACACCCCAGACCTCGTCCCACTTTCCTGTATAAGTCCCAAACCTCATCCCTGTCTAAGTGGCAAACCTACCGTAGTCCCTGTCCTAGTCCCTCTGCATGTCCGGAACATAGTCCCAATTGCAGTCCCGATCTCCATCCCGAACCTGGTCCCAATTGCAGTCCCAAACATTGTCTCACTCTCAGTCCGGAACCGCGCCCCATTCACCGTTCCTAAAACCACATCCCATACCAGGTTGGAGATACAGGCCAGACACAGTTCCAGACAGAGTCCCAAAATTCCAATCCCAATCCCAGTCTGCCTAATCCCAGTCCCAGAGCAGACACGNTTTTTTTTTTTTTTTTTTTGATTGGAAATTAGCGTTTCTGAACTCCAGAGTCTAGATCCATTTGCACCACACAAACCCCTCCTTCATGGCTCGAGCACTAGTGGTTTAAGATAGACTCGTCAAGAAATTCCAGATGCATTGGGTGTCATGAGGATGACAATGCGCGTTGCCGTCAGCGCATAGTTTGTCACACACAACAGATGTATGAAAACATTAGCATTTAAACACAAATCTAGTATTTGATCTACATGGGCACAGCATTAAAAAAAAAAAAAAAAACATGTTTCCTTTTTTAGTCAAAAATAGACATAAGAATGGTAAGACTTCATTTCATTTTTACTTTCTATTTCAAAAAACAGATCAATTCAGATGCACAAAATAGTTTGCTAACGACTTCTGAGGGTGGAGGTTCTAATGTAATTATTAGACCATATCAGATTCTGCTTTGGAAGACGCCGTTAGAAAAACTTCCGCACAAAAATGATACAATCATTGTGTAGAGTATACACCGCACTTCACAAAGGTTAGCAAATCTAGATGAGCCCTCCTCTCTCGTCAACACGGGATTAGATATGCCTAGATACTTTACTTTGTAGTACTTTGAATGACCAGTACACTATGGGCGGTGCACCCGCACTAACCAAGCATTGCTGAATCGCCAGCGGCACACTTAATTTCCTTTTCTGCCTGGCACGGCTACCGCATTCCCCCGAACACAACGCACCGTCATTTTGACTGTATTGGGCAGGAAACATGCCTTGCATACGTTCATTTTCAGGGTGCGTTATGTTCGGGGGAAGACAGTAGCCATTGTGCTCCGCTAGGCACGAGCGTCGGAAATTTTCAGGAGGGAGCAGGAGCAGTTTGTTGTCTGAGGCAGGCGGCTATAGTATTATCTCTATTCATTTTTTTTTTCATAATATAATTATATCCTAATTAATAATAATTATATCGTAATTAATATTGAGAACAAATTATCATGGCTACGCCGGACCCGGACCCGTGTCCGGTAGTTTCCGGACGTCCGGAATTCCGGACATTTCCGGACCTCCGGACATGAGGTGATCCGGACGGTTCGGAAGTCTGGACAGGTCCGGAAAATTTCCGGACTATTAAAAAAAAAAAAAAAGTTCTGAAAAAAAAGTATGTTATGCAGAATAACAATGCAAACCACTTTTGCCTCAGAGTCATGTCAGAATTCCTAACCAAACTTGAGTTAAAAGTTAAAAACTATAAAAAGCTTAAAAAAAGACTTTAAGAACTAATAAAAGGTAATGAATTATTAATAATTTAAAAATTTGGGTTGTCCAATAAATTACTATAGAGAGAGAAAATGTCCGGACCCCCCAAAAAAGCATAAAGGGGCCTGAAACCCCCCCCAAACAATTTTGGGGGCTTCGCTCCTCGCTGGGGAAGGGTCCTGGACCGTTTTTTTTGTTTTTTTTTCTCTCGAAATTTGCCAGATCCGGACCTTCCAGACCGGACGTCTGGATTCCGGACTGAATCCAGACCGTCTGGAGGGCGGTCCGGACGTCCGGATCGTAGCCATGCAAATTATAGTACTAATTGTATTATAATACAATTATACAATTATTACTATCCTAACAATTGTATTGGGAATATGAATTGGACATTTTCATTTTATATAGAATAGAAGAACACGCACTCCTGACAGGACAGGTCCTGGATGGAGGGCATAATCTAAGGTGAACTCGAGATTCTGTACGTTGGGAAAGGCCATGACGTGAGTATGGTCACAGTGCTACTCCCGGGAACGAATATAACCGCAACTACAACCACATTCACCTTTTGTTTTGTGTTTTTTTCTTTTTCTTTTCTTTTGTTTTCTTATCATTGCCCTGCCAGCGAGGCAGGGTGCTATGCACGCAATCCTGACACGTTGAGAGGGAGGGCATCATCTGTGCTGTTCTTGATTTTTTTTTTTTTTTTTTTTTTTTTTTTTTTTTTTTTGTGGGATCGGACGGTCCTAATTTTGTTGCCGTGCAAATTATCGTAGGACGGCAGATCTTTCTCACCCTCTCTCATTGGCGATCAACTGTGTGCTATGCGTCATAAGAGTGATCAAAAAAGATCATACCATGTATGTTTCATAACATATAGGTATTCTTTCTCATCGTTCCGCAGGCCCCTGTCAGCATGGGGCGTAACTTTCCGATATGCCCTTACTGGACCACTGGTGGCGTTTCATCGGTAGGTCCTTGAAATGCCCTGACGAGGGGCACGCATCTTTCTGCGATGCCCTTGCAGCAGTGGTGGCAGGAAATCGAATTCAATGTGGTAGGCATTCCACGCGCCACCACGGAAAAACGGTCTGTATATGTGTGTGTGTGTGTGTGTGTGTGCGCGCGCGCGTGTGTGTCCATGCTCATTGCCAAATGTCTGATATGCCCCGGAAGCATCTCTCCCTGGGCCAGGGGAAAGGCTGCGAGGGTCAACAACGGCCACAGGGGCTCGCTGGAAAGATGGATGGTACCAATAAGGGCATATGGGAGACTTTTGTGCTGGTTCTCAACGGCCATCCCGTAGGGTACTGGTACCGGTAGGGGCATATGAAAATTTTTTCAGGCCCAAACGACGCCAGGAGTTTTCTGGAAACATCATTCGTGGTCAGAGGGGCGCGACAAGGTAAGTCGGCTGTCAGAGGGGCACGCCTCAAATAAGTGCAAACTTCAGGGGCATTTCAAAAATTTCCCCCAAAAAAAAACAGTCTGCAGACTTTGCATTTTTTTTTATTTTTTTTTTTAATATCAGAACCTCGCGGTTCTGGCTCCTGCCATTCTGGGGAGCAACAGCCCGGTTCCTATTCCACTGGCAAGTCGATATGAAATACATTGGAAACTCACACACGCTCCTCCGAGACAATGGCGGGCTAGGAATTGGGAATGAATGTGGATGTAGAACATGGGTACATTAGCACATGAAACCCTTTTTGTTTTTTGCCAAGGGGTGGCCGACTCGAAAA